ATATATATATATATATATATATATATATATATATATAAACATGATGGATAGATGGATGGATGGATGGATGGATTTTTTTTACTAGATTATACTAGATAGATTTTTGTTAAAGTGAGCACAGTCAATGCTGATAATCTCAATCAATCCAATTAATCAATCAAGCTGAGCTGATACATCAGTCTATGACTGCAGGTCTAATGAGACTCGCTCCTGCGGGTTCAGTTCTGAGCACAATCTGCTTTCAAGCGGCTGCCGTCTATCTGTGAGAGAGAGAGAGAGAGAGAGAGAGAGAGAGAGAGCAGAGCCCTTATACGGGCACATGATCTCAGACACACACAACCGGAGCATTACACGTCCAAACTGATGCTATTTCTGTAGCAAAACACGCACTTCTCCTGACAGCTGGAGAAGTGAGGGAACACAATACTTCCACGTGTGCATGAGTGTTTAAACACTACCTGCTGAACAAACAGAGCCAGAGCCGCAGGAGGCCATCAGACAGACAATAGACACACACAGGACAGACATAGAGAGAAAACCCACAAGATATTACTGATCCTGTCTACAGCATGAGCAATCACTTCTGTACTGGTCGGTCAATCAGCATGCAGGACCAGAACTTTAAAGGAGATATAGTATGCCCTTTTTTACAGTATGTAATATAAGTCTCTGGTGTTCCCAGAATGTGTCTGTGAAGTTTCAGCTCAAAATACTCCACAGATCATTTATTATATCATTTTGAAAATGCCTATTTTGAGTGGAAGCAGAAACGCACTGTTTTTCGGGCCTGTCTCTTTAAATGCAAATGAGCTGCTGCTCGCCGCCCCCTTTTCCAGAATAGAGCTGCGCCATTACAGCTCGGACCTGCTAAAAACATCTGTTTTGGTTCTGATTATCATGTTTATCGCCCTGAAATCATGCATTTTAAACCATATGAGTCTAAGCTTCTGATATATTGTTTTCTGAGCGCACACAGCTGAAGCGCACGCACAGAAAGCGGCTGTCACCGCATGCGAGTACTAAACTAAGCTCTCATTCACACACAAGCTTACGTTAAAAACACACGAGTTACAAAGACAGTCGGTTTTGTCTGTGAAGGTAAACAGCTGGGAAATAAATCTCATGTTTATTTTAGATCTGTGTGGCAGCAGCAATATACAGTAAATACATTAATAAATGCTCTGCTCTGTCGTCTCCTCTGAGGCTGGGACTCTAAACAGTGTTGTGTGCTCGTCTGTGCAGCCAAACACAGAACAGTTAGCGTGTTTTGCTCAAACTATCATCATGGCATTAGAGCTGCTGCACCGTTGTCGCTTGCGCGAACACAATAACTGCGCCGTGGGTGGAAACTTACAGATTAAAGGGCGGTAATATTATAATGAGATCCCTTTGCCTCGTCACAGAGGGAGCGAAATCAGACGCGCTGGTTTCTCAGACGCTTGCAGAAAAAGGCTTCCCAAAACAAAGTGACTGGGTTCATCTTTTTCACGTTTCCTTGGCTGGTAGATGCACCGGAGACCTGATTATAGCACTTACAACCTGGAAGAGTCAGATTTTCATCATATGTCACCTTTAAGTATAATTCAAATTAAAATTGAAAAGATAAAAATAAAAACATTTTAAAATATGAAAAAACTT